GGTGAGTGCACACGCCCAATAAGAAAAAACCTCTCCAAAAAAATAAAAAAAAATAAAAAGAAATAAGCATGTCCAGTGAGAGGCCTACTGCTCACTGTCATCATTAATGAGTCAGTGTGTAGAGCTCTTTGCTAATGTAGTGTATGATTAGTGGCCCAATTTGATTCCCAATAGATGTTCACCTTGGGGCCAGCAGATGGCATAATGGTTATGTTGCTGGACTCTCACATAGTCAATCACAGTTGAAGACCCAAACCTGGCTGCCTAAAACTCACACAGGGTGTATGTACATGTGTGCCCAAAAGCCCAAGAGGAGGATGGAGGAGAAAGGATTGGGGCATGGCCATCCTCCCTTGGGGTTATTTCTTACTTTCTATCTTTCTGGTGAGCGCATGCACCGTATAGCAAAAATCTCTCTCTCTAAAAAAAAAAAAAAAAAAAAAAAAAAAAAGTGTTCTCCTGTTTTCCTTAAAGTAAGAGGTCTATTTCAGTGCTCTCAGAGCAGAAGCCCTGGCTATGACTAGGAGACTGATGCTGTCACCTTGGCAGCTCTAACCCTTTGGAGTTGTCCTCGAGAAACTTGTTGCTTCTTGTAGTTGGGATGTTCTAAGCACATAAAAGTATCTGATAGTGATTCTTAGTGAGAAAAAGTTATGTTAAGCTGTTGGTATAATAAAAAATCATGGACTTTTATAGTTTCCCAAAAAATTCATTAGAATTAATAAAAAATGTGTCTGTCTTAGGAGACTGAATTATTAAGTGGTTTTTATTAATCTGTGTATTATTTCAAGAGTTGGCACAACATTTAGACACTCAACAAATATTTCTTGAATTAATAAATATGTGAACAAACAAATGAAACCTCTATGAAAATCTCCCGGGATCACAAGTATATAAATCCCGAGGACAACCTAAGGTCTGGTCATCTGCACTGCTCCAACAGATGAACCTCTTGACTTTAATAGCATGCTCTCACTCTGTGGCCTTCAACAAGACCTGTCCTCAGAGTTCTCGAGTCTGCATGCAAAACAGCTGACCCAGACATCATGTTCAGGAGGTAATGGCCAGCTGCCAGAAGCCCTGTGGCCTGTGAGGATTAGCCCTGGCCTCTGTGCTATGAAGGGCATGTGCATCACAAAGTGCTTTTAGATTTTCTGTAATATGCAGTGACGCAGGGTCATCAAAGTGGGCCTTCTCCCAGGCTGTTATTAATGTCAAATTTAATTTGGCCAAGAGGTCTCACTGAGGGCTGCATCATGCATTTCATAGTTAAGGCAGTTCTGTGACACTTTCATCTCTACAAAGCCTAGTATTGAAGTGCTGGAGTCCTTGATCTGAATCTTTGAATTCAAAGGAAGTGATATGTAGTTGACCCAACTTCTCCAAGAAGCCTGGCTTTAGATAAAGTGGGTACCATTAAGGCTATGTCTGACCCCAAAAGCTGAAGGGGACACAAGGTCAGGGTCCTCCAATGTTTTTGTCCAACATGGAATGAAAGTATTTCCATGTGTAAGTCTCAGGAAGCAATATGCATGACATCCAAGGCTTCACTGGGACCCAAAAAGGTATTTCAAGTGCTTTTGCGTCTACCCAAGTACTTCCTGATGTCTCACTTGACACCAACTGTTGTCTGGCTTCCTCCAAAATGGGCTTCTCTGCTCCCTGTACAGCTGTGCTGCAGGAGGAGGAAGCAGACAGGCAATGACCAGACTTCCACAATGGGCCTCCTGGGGGAGAGCTCTGACTGGGTTACTGTCCAACTACAGCCTCAGACTCAGACCACCAAGAAGAGACCACAGGACTGACTCCCACTGTGTACAGAGGGCAGGTGAGTAGGACTGAATACACAGGGTGGGAAGGGTGAAAGGGAGAGAGAGCATCCTAGTGGGAAGTAAATAGCAGTGAAGACCTAGCAATGAGAACAAACTGGAGAGAGGGATCAAGTGAGTGCCCTGACAAAGCAGAGGCTGAACATTGGGATGAAGTGGGCCACAATGATGGCTCAGTGGAGTGAAGGCAAAGCCTCAGGAGAGTCAGGGCTCAGGCTGCAATTTGGTTGAACACCCATCCATGGGAGTTCTCTAGGTGACTGTCATCACCACTCCCTAAATCTGCTCTTGCTCTCAGATTCCTAGCTCTGATTGGCAGCACCCTCATCCAGTTAGATGCTCACACTAAAGCCTTTTTTAGATTCCTTCTTTACCACTACTGACAGCTAATCAATCATTGACTCTGGCTGATTTTACCTCCTAAATCTGTCTTAAATTTATCCCTACTGCCACTCCCCTGGCTTAAAATTCATTATCTTATGCTTAGACTATTGCAATAACATCCTAATTGGTCTCTCTGTTTCCACCCAAAGTCAATAAAGATCTGTAGGATGAAACATGCATGAATGTTAAGGCTAACATAGTGTCTTGGCAGCTCCCTAGTTGAGAAGCCAGCAAGAAGCTTTCCTACTATCCACTGAAAGTACACTGAAGTCTGTCTCCAGCAAGATGCCCCATAGGATTCAGGGATTATAATCCAGCCTCTGTTTTAGAAGCAACCTGGTCTGTATGCCCCTTGGAGTTTGAAGAGTGCTTGAAGCCCCAGTGTGAATACAGACCTCAAAACTAAGTTCATGTCTGAATCTGAACCTTTTGCTTTTGCCCCCATAAAATTTTAGAGTCAGATATCTAATGCAGAGGCAAGTCTAGTCTGCCCATCAGCATCAGGGTTACTCAAACAGGTTCTCCATAAGCGTGGCAGACACACTACTGAGAAGGTTCTAGAAAAACAGTCAAAGGGCAGTTCCTAGCACCAGACAAGGCTGCATCCTAGGGCAAATGGCCTTCCTGGCTGAATTATCCTGCCTTTGTTTCTGAAAGGCAATCTGGCAGCCCAGATGGAATGAGCCATGCTAACACACTAGATGCAATTTTTCTCTAAAGTTTCTTCTTCAGAAAATTCTTTTCACTCTCCATATTTCCTCAGCTCTCTCCTGCAACATTCAAAATAAAATCACAAGAGTGTGCCCTTGGGCCCATCTGATCTTTAACAAGCTGATTCCATCTTTTCCTCCTAACCTGGAGCAGTTTAGAAAATGACTCTAACCCACAGTGGTGTGGGGTCAAGTTGACTTATAATTCAGGTGCACGGGGAGCAAAATGAGATATTCATTCAAAATAAGATGTTGTCTTAGATAGTTTCTTTGCACACAGAGAGAAAAGGGGACTGGAGGCAGTTTTTGAAATATCACAGGTCTCTTACATCCATTTTTGCAAGAGCTGTTTGGAATATTGAAGTTGTGGTATTTTCCTCGATATACAGCATCATTTTAGAGAGGTCTGTGTTCCCACAGGCCTTCTTTGCCAGCTGGTGACAAAATAAATGGAACATGGTGATATCTGAGCAAGGTTTATTTCACATTCAGTTCTAAATTTTCCCTTGGCTCTTTGGGCAAAAGCAGTGTGGGAATGTGTGTGTATGTGTGTGTGTGTGTGTGTGTGTGTGTGTGTGTATTCAGGGATTATAATCCAGCCTCTGTTTTAGAAGCAACTGGTCTGCATGCCCCTTGGAGTTTGAAGACAGTCTGAATCCCCAGTGCAAATACACATGTTCATGAGAGAGAGAGAATATTGATGGTAGAAAACTGTCCAAAGGTAGTAGTGGGTGGAGGGTCCAGGAGGAGAAATGTCTACACTGTGTATCTAGACTGTGTACAGTACTCAGGAGCCTTCACTTCCATTAGAGGGGATGCAGTTACTCCCCTATCCCACCCCAATACAAGTCCAGTGTAAGAATAAGCTCTTTCCTAAAACCACAACATGGCTGGAGAGACAGAAGTCCTAAAAATTCTTGGAGAAAACAAGATAGAAATGAGCTATATGCAGGGACATGGATGAAGGAGGGCCACCAATAGATCCACAATCTGGTGCATCTAACGCATGGGACCATCCTCACCTTATGAGATATTCGTTCTCCCATTCCACAGGCTTCTTTCAGAGCTTCACATTCCAGCTTCAGAGTCCTGGTTAGCTTACGGGGATACTGAGCTAAAGAGCCCATCATTCCAACAGACCTACTTCTAAATTCTGACTCTCTATTGTGTGACCTTGAGTTGTTTGCATGTTCTGGACCTCAAATTTTCCATCTCTACCATGGGATGAATAACACCCTCCTCATAGTGAAGATGAAAGAACTAAATAAAGTATGCATGAAATGAGTCTACAGGGTACACGTGGTAGGCACTCAATACAGTTAGGTTTCCTCTATACCCAGTTTTTGTAGTCTCCCTCCAGTAGCTTTGTTTCCCAATTCTTGACTTGCCTCCTTTCTTGTGGCACCATCTCATAGTCTCCTGACAAGAAGCCCTCTCTCCCAACATGTATCTTCAGTCACTCATGTACACACCAACACCATGATTGTCTCTGTTGTGGTCAGCCAGGTCCAGCTTCATGGGCATGTGATTTGAGCTGTTGGTTGCACAGGGCCCTGTATGTAGTTGTACGCACTTGGCTTAAATACTCTGCTGTCACTGTCTTTGGGATGACAGCCTACATTTTCATTTGTACTGAGCACCATCAATTATGGAGATGACCGTATGGGGAGGAGACCAACCTCTTCCCAAGTGACTGACCCTACTCATCACATTGGCTCCTGGCCAGGTGACTATAAACCAGCAGGGCAGAAGGGGACTTCTGTTTCTAGGTCTCTGTTCTAGCTGCTCTGAAACACATCATGCCATTTAATGCCTGTTTTACCAATAATGAACAGAGACTTTGCCAGGTCACTTACTCAAGGTCACACAACTGGCAAATGGAGTCTGAATCAGGTATGTGTGTAACCAAAAGCTAGGTCTTCTCACCCTTCCACCATAAGTAAACTTAATGTCTACCTAGGAGCGACGTATACAAATGCAGGTGGGAAGGGCTGACTCTTCCCTAATATAAAATATATATTCTGATATACATCATTTAAAAGTAATTAATAAACAAATTCCAACAGAAAACACCTACCACACAGTTTCTGAAGGGATTTCTCGGAGTAGGTCTCCCGATCACAGCCCTTCCCAATGTAATTGGTCTGCAGCTCCGCAGTGATCTGCAGCGAGGACACAGCTCCATCACAAGTCTCCAGGCGGATGCTGGGGAACAAGGGTACACTCCCCGAGCCAGGCTGATACTCAATCCTCTTGGTCCAGTCTGAGTAGATAAGGAAAGGATGAAAAGGAAATCAGATATAGTCAGTTCTGAAGGAATGCTTGTTTTGGAAATGTGGTTTTATTACAACAAATTGTTCATCCCAACAAACATATTAAATAGTTTGAAGATAAGGCAATTTTATATTTGCTTATGTAGGATTTCCTCCCTGAGACATACTAGGCAAAACCCAAAAACCACACCTTGCGAAGCTGAACCTCTTGGGAATATACAAAATGAGCACGTGTACACCTCAACTATGAGCAACTTCTTAGGTCACCGTGTGTCAGGAGCCACAGCCATCCACACCTGCAGCTACAACTTCTCATCACTTTCATAGACTCTCCTTCCACTGCTTCAAATAATGCACCATCTGCAACCTTCTTACATCCACTTCCATGAGCACACATCAGATCTCCTTAAAGTTCCATGTTTATTGTAGCCATTGCATGAAACCGACTAATGTTTCCTATTCCCCCCTTTTAATGAGTCACTCATCACATATACTTATCTCATTTTCCACCTATTGCCTCTCATGGTGAGTTTTAGAGATGTGTATGTCTTGTTACAAAATAGAGCATAGTTGTTCAAGGATTATGTGAGGTCACCAGGTGGGGACAGGGATTCTCAACCATTTAGAACTGTGACTCATTGAAGTACAGCTGAGAGTCTTGTCACTGCTTTTTAGAAGAAAAAATAATTGGAAATGATAAAGCGCTGGAGAGAAACAAAATCACAATCAGAACGGCACTACAAAAAAACCAGAGCAATCAACAAAAATAAACACCGAGAATGAGCGTACACAGGAATTGATTGATGCACTAATAGCAACGATTGAAAGTCACAGGAGCTTCAAGGCAACACTCACAGTGACTAATAATGCCTGCTTGCTGACAACAGTGAGCTTCCCATGCTCTGCGAGGGTACACGTCTGAAAGGGCTGTGCAACTGTGCTCCACCAGATGCGTGTATACAAGAGTAAATCTGAGTCATTAGGAGATGTGAGTTATGGGCACTATTAGCTGATGGATCCCAAGTGTTTGTCACATGTAGTTGCTTGCTAGACATTTTCCCATTGTAAGTTCCAATCAAATGTGCAACCTCCTCTGCTCATGGTGCACTTAAGAAAACAAACAAAACAAAACAAAACCCGAACCCTATAAAGAGCTAGATGGTATTCTTTTGCTGAAGTAGAAATGGAAATTCATGGATTTCCCTGCCTGCACCTGTGAGGAACTTAGCAAGTCCTGCATTTGTGAGACTGTGTCAGTTTACAGTCACAGGAAGCTCCCAATGACTTTCTGGTAGGCTACTGGATACCAACAAGTTGTTATCAACACCACAGAGAAGGCTGGGTTTAGGGACTAGCCAGATGGCTTCCTACACTGAGCAAGGATTTGTTCACGGTTCTATGTGCCAGCCTCTGACTGGAATGCCAAGGATACAGCAGTGGACAAATCAGGAGCTGGGAGAGAGAGGTAGATGATGAATGTGTGTACTGGGGAGAAGTAAATGCTATGGACAGAAAAGGAGGTGGAGAGGGGCTCTTTTTTTACTTCCATTTTTCTTTCTTAACTTTTTTTTTTGAGAGATCTTTGCTACAGGGAGTATGCACTCACTAGAGAGACAGAGAGACAGAAAGCGAGAAATCATCCCTCTAGGAGGAGGGGGTGGCCATGCTGCAATCTCCTCTCTTCCGTTCTCCTCTCAGGATTTTGGGCATAAACACATATACTGCTGGCTTGAATTTTAAGCCACCAGATCCAGGACTTGAACTGTGGTTGACTACCTGGGAGTCCAGCGATGTAAGCATTATGCCATCTTCTGGTTCCGAGAGGGACTCATTTAAAGAGAGAGTTTGCATCTGAGTGAGGTCTGAATGCAGAGGATAACTGTGCTTCCCTCAGAGAAGCATTGTTTGAAGCAGATGCAGCTGCAGTCTTAGCTTGGCTCTATAAGGTCAGGAGTTCTTGAGCAGGTTATTGAAGATCTCCAAGCATCAGGCAGTTTATCAATAACACAGGGACCACAGTAATAACCTCTCAGTGCTGGTGTGAGACCCAGTTGTGACAATGTGTGCATGGCATGCAACAGGGCCCTGATCAGTGCTGTTACTTGGTGCCCCCTGCACTGCAACCCTACCACATTCCAGATAACTATGCAATCTAGGTTTAACCCTGAGCCCCCTATTAACTAGTTGCTCTTTATGGGGTTTTCTTAGAGTGTGTCAGGAGGAGAGGTGGCTCACCATGGTTATGTGGATGTTTGGATGAGTGATTATAAAGGATGATGTACCCGATTATTTATTTTCCATCATGGCTTCCAGGGGCTGAGTCTGGATTAGCCTATCACCTATGGAAGGATGACATTTTGGAGCTGCTATAGCCCATGCTGCAGAGGTCCCAAGTTCAATCCTAAAGACAAACCATGAGGGCCCAGGAGGGTTTCTTGTCAGCATATCTGAAAGTCACAGTGTTATAAGAAATAGTCCACACATGATCAGCCACGTAGTGTCCTAGATACAAAACGTTTCAAGCCCCTGTGCATTTGATCATGCTGTTTTTTTTGTTCATGGAACTCCTTTTCTGTCACCTTCTCCTTTTCCACCTCCTCCCACAGCCTTCCGGGATCTCTCCAGTCTAGGTAGAGACCCTCTCCATGTTCCACGGGCTCCTCAATGTTAGATTGGAGTATTAGACTCCAAGCCTCATGGTGCCTCTGAATCCCTGCCATGCTGCTTGGTGCCTGATACAAAGCAGATGCTCACTGGAGAGTGGTAGAAAGTATGAATGAACCCTGTAAGATAGGATATTGAATTACCCAATTGTTTGGCTGCCTCATCTAGTTAGTATGTACTCCTTAAGAGCAGGAACTATCAAATGTTTGTTTCTGAACCATCTGCACCTAGATCAGAGTGCAGGAAATGTTTGTGAGGTGGATCTGAGGAACTCCAAGCACCTAACACTGATTGCTCCTATAGCCATCCTTCTTGAGCTGCAAACAGAATACATGACTTGTTTTTAGCTGTCTGGTACTGACCAAATCTACCCCTGTCTTTGGTTTAGCAGAACTATCCATCACAACAGCAGCACATATTTGGTTCCCTTTGTCCTCAACTATTGGTAAGGAATTGGTTCAAAACTGATGATTAGTAAATCTACTTCTTAACAATAAGAAATGGCATCAAGAAGGAGGTCTTATTTGCTTCCCTACCCCCTCTCCTCTCTCTCTGGACCCTCTCTTTCTTAGAAATACAAATGAAAAAAAAATGCAGGTAGTAGATTGGGGCAAACAGAAACAATTTAACTTCTTCCTTTCAAACATGAATACTTTCGTATTTCTTTTTCTTGCCTACTTGCATTCATTAGGACTTCCAGTATTATGTTGAATAGAAGTGGAGAAAGTGAACGTCCCTGCCTGGTTCTTATAGATTTTCACATTTAGTATGATGTTAATTGAGTTTGTCACATATGGCCTTCATCATGTAGAGATATATACCATGTATACGTATGTTTTGAGAGTTTTTTTTTAATTTAAATTTTTATAAAGCAAAATTACAGAACTTTACATTCTTCTGTTAAATGCTTCTTCCCTTTGCCTCTCTCATCTACTCCCTACCATCTACTCCCCGCCTTTACAGTCTTTGAAATTTACACTTATCCTTTCTACTATCATATCTTCAGATCTTTCAACTCTGGCCAGGGGTACAGATGTTCAGTACATATTGAGTGAGGGTATACAGTATGTGTCTTTCGAAGTCTGGCTCACTTTACTTAACACTACGTCTTCTATATTTATCTATTTTGAATCAAACAATAAGGTCTCATTGTTTTTATGGCTGAGAGTCTTAATCATAGAGGGATATTATACTTTATCAAATGCTTTTTCTGCATCAATTGGTTTGAACATATGGGTTAATGAAAATGCAAATTATTATACTCACTATGTAAAACAGTATGGAAGTTCCTTAAAAAAACTAAAAATAGAACTATTTTATAATCCAGGAATTCCCACCCACCACTAGCTATATAGCCAAAGCACAGAAAATCAGTATGCCAGAGAGATATCTGCACTTCCATGTTTTTGCAGCACTATTATTATAGCTAAGATATGTAATCAACCTTAGTGCCCAATATCTGATGAATGGATAAAGAAACTGTTGGATACACACAGTAGAATACTATTCCACCATAAGAAGATAAATTCCTGTCATTTCAGGCAAAGTGAATGATCCCAGAAGAAATGGTGCTAAGTGAAATAAGACAGGCTCTGAAAGACAAATGCTGTATGTCCTCACTTAACAGGTACTGTATGTTCTCACTCATTAGAGGAAGCTAAAAAATCCACCTGCATGGAATAGAGAGTGCAATGGTGGATACCAGAAGCTGGAAAGGAGGGAGGGTGAGGGGGGAAGGGGAGAAACTCATTAACAGACACAAGTGTGCATATAAGCAAGTAGAATGCATTATAGAATATTATAGCACAGCAAAGAAAGTTAATGGCAATTTAATATTTATCTCCTAATAAACAGTAGAGCGAACGTACATAACACAAAGTAATTTTAAATATTTGAGACAATAGATATATTTATTTCCTTGATTTGAAACCCATGAAGAGATACAACTAATAGATAAATTAGAAATTACAATAAAATTATTTATTAATTTAAAAAGGATAGTTAATTTATTTATTAAAACAGGATGGTTTTTACTTCTTTAGTTAGATTTATTGCTGGGTATCTTATTTGTCTTATAGATATTGTAAATGGACCACAATCTCTAACCATTAACTAGAATTAACTCAAATGGACCAAAGACTTAAATATAAATCTCTGATCACAGAACTAATGGTAGAGTATGTAGGGGAAACTTTTGATGACATTGGAGTAGGCAAAGATTTCTTAAATAAGACACCTAAAGCACAGGCAATAGTTCCTAAAATAGAGAAGTGGATTACACCAAGCTAGAAAGTTTTTCCACAGTAGAAGAAACTATAACAAAAGT